TACGACTAGACATAATCTTGGCCTGGCCACTGGTCTGAAAAGGCCCCAACACGGTTCCCTGAGGTACTTTATTTATCTGTGCTAATCTGATTTTCGATTTTTACTTTTTGTTTTACTATTTTTTAGGTAGGTTTTAAACCACTCGTGTAATGTATCTCTTATATCTTTGTCTTTCTTTGTATCTAACAGTAATGAATGGTCGACGCTATCTAAAGCTTTTTTAGATCAATAAAAACACCTATTAATAAAATGTTTTTTTAAAGATTCGTAGATGTCAGTTATTACCACGTGAATGGCGTGTTAAGTAGATTTTTTTTTGATAGTAAATTATATTAAAGATACTAGGTTTAACAATGTTTCTCAACAACTTTACTTAAAGAAGGTATATCTTTATTTATTGTTAAACTGCTTAACAGACAACTCCAATTACAAAGCATGGAATTAGGACAAATATTATATAAAAAAGAATAGGTTAATAAGGACTTTACACTTAATGCTATAAATACGACAATGAAATCTCAGGTATCACTGACTAAGTTATACAGGATTTCAAAACATTGGTTTACTGGTTATTAGAGATGTGGACCTGTAGCTCTCATTTTCTTTATCTCAACTTTGAAATGCCTACATGAATTAAAATTGAGTTGTATACTGGTGAAATGAACCCGTTTCAAAAGATCGATTGATAATATCTGCTAACGGTTTGTTTATGAAATCAGTGAGTTGTTTTAGGGTTTCTGTCTTTAGACCATCTTCACCAGGTGACTTTTTATTTGTAAGTAGGTCTCAGAAAAAAGACTTGGTGATTAATTTTTTTTTGTTATTGATTTTTTTTAATTCCTATAGGTATTTACAGAGAAATATTTTCCGGATTTATCACAAGGTCACCAGTATAAATTTTAAGCCGCAACAGAAGTCGCAAGATTAGTGTGTATAAAACCAACAATAATCAGTAGGACAAAAGAAATTAAAAAACAAAAATGGTTTATTAAAAATACAGAGTATCACTATTAAGAAAGCAAGAAATAAGCAGAAGAAACTTAAGGTGAATGCAGAAAAATAAGAAGACAGAAATAAATAAAGAATAGACAATGACTAAAACAAAAGACACTGACAGGTGCTTATAAGGAAGATGTAGGCATGAGGTAAATATTCGAAGAAAGATTGTATATTTATCCAACATTCGCCAAATAGAAAGGTCAGTCCAGAAAGAAGAATAGAGGAGAGGAAATAAAGAATATGTATCATAGGGACCCAAAACTATTTGATTAAGTTAAGAGTGTTAAAACAGAACAAAAAATAAAAAAAATAACTTTTGTTGGGAAAATAATCCACCCCTTCGATACTCTTTGATACGCTTTGATGGCGCATATATCAACCACAAATTAAGAAATAACAATAAAAAAATATATAAAATATAATAGAAGTAAAAACAATAACAGTAAAGAATGGCACATTTCCCTTTCTTGAATCTATCGGAATACGCTTATGTGTTTATTATCAAGGAATAAAAAGAAACCAAAGTTGTTAGGTAAACGCCGTAATAAATTATTAATAATTTAGCATCAATCAACATAATTTGTTCATAAATTTTCACATAAAACATTTGTTAGCTGCAAGAATTTATGTGACCGTTTTCTTAGTTTTATTTACTGGTAGATTAATTACTCTGTATGTTAATAGCGTTATCAGGTGGTCGGTGATGAAGACATTTGTTTCATGTCGAGTGTAACCAACTGATGGAAAGCGTTGGCGTTTGATAACGTTTTTATTGATATCCTTGATGGTAAAATATTAAATATTTTGTAATTTGAAGTCATTTCGTGAAAGTACGTGAAGTTTCTTAATTGTTAATTGTTCGGGTGATACAGAAACAAGAGAAAAAAGAAGATACAAAGTCTCAAGGGCTGATGCGGACCAGATGTTTGGGGAGCTTTGTAGAAATAAAAACTATCGGGAGTATGGAATATTCTCCAGTTAAAAGAAGCCCAAGTGTACTTTTCGAATTTTTTTTTGTAAATTTGAACCTGTAATAGTAGTTTACCTAACAAGTGCAGAAAGTGATACTTTTTCGCACGTGTTAGGTACATAATTTTTTCTACTAGCGTGCGGAAAAAACCCAAAAGTTAACATAAAGAAACATTGATTATTAAATACATATCAACAAATTAATTATTCTTAATATTAATATTGAACGTGCAATTTGTAGCATTCTGCAAATTAATTGCAAAGGCTAAAATGTTTTCCAATGAAGTCATATTTTGGTGGAAGAGGTCATTTGGGAAGGCTTTACTGGTGACAGCTGCTGACTAGTGGAAGACAGCGTCACTGAAGTTTAATATTTTATTCGATAGGCCCTTTTGGAAACTTGGTGATCTTTCTACATACCCTTCTGCGACGCTAGAAGATTTTCAACCTCCGAGGCGTTTAATATTTGTTATTCCTTCTCCGGAATCTGCAAGCATTGTGGCGGCGGAACATCGGAAACTGTGACCCGTATATAATTCAGGATTTGGAAGCTTCAGTTAACTTGCAATCTCTGATGGCATTTTTCCGAAGGTGTTTATTCCGATACATTGTACAGTGCAAGTTCCGTTCTTACATTTCACGAAAAATCGCTTATGTGGGGTGTCAGGCTTCCTTAAACTCACATACTTTCTGAAAAAATTGAGCAATTTTCCATTTTCAGCTTTCTCAGAAATCGCAAATCTTCTGAAAGAGTGCGCCTGCCTAACCAAAAATCGTACCAACTTTTATATGAAGATATATTTTGTCAGGCGCCTTATTTATAAATTTAAAAATTTCTTCTTTTGAGAAAATGTTTGCCTTTTTTGGTCTAAATCCAATGTTTTGTTTTTTTTTATATATGCTTTGACCTTAAAAAGCTTAAATCGACGTCTTTTTTGAGTTTAATTAGGTATACTTTTTAACATCGAGTACCTGGATCAAATTGGAAATTTCAGCGAAATAAGCCAAAAAAACGTCATACTTATAACGGGATTTTGATGGTAGTAGATCCAAATTTGCAGTTCTAGCTGCTTCCAAAACTGACTTTTGCAAATCTTCGTCTGAAGAATCCATGAAAAATTATCTTCTAGAAAAAAATGCGACAATAAAATTGGTTTTGACAAGGTAGTGTTTTTACTGACAGGTTTATTTTTTCTTTGTTGCTACGGTGATTCAAAGTGACAAATAAAAAATGTCAGATATTTATTACTATTTGACATTCATTTGAGGCTTATACCAGGGCCATTAAAAAATTATTGAAACATACGTTTCTTTTTATTAAACATTATACCAGAATTCTAATAAATTTCTTAATTTTTCAGTCATTTTGTAAACTACAACCATACAAATATATATTCTGAATACTCAAATGTCAGTATACCCCCCAAAAACTTAAAAAAGTTTTTTCCGTACTAGTGCGGAAAAGTGACTTTTTCAACACTAAAATGAGTGCGGAAAAGTAGTAGAAAAAATGTGTTTTAGACTGTTTTTGGAATCAAAAAATCACTAAAAGATTAATCCCTTTTGATTTGACTTTTAAACTTTAACCAGTAAATTTAAAACTAAAAGAGCTATGTGTAAAGTAAATTAAGCGAAAGAGCCATTTTTGTGCATGTCATTTCACAGAAATAGACGTGATTTGGCAAATCAAATATTTCATGATGAATGTGCAAAAGTGTAAATCCAATATGTCTTCTCTGCACTGTCGGTGCTCTAGTCCACCGTTTCAATCGTCGCAGTGATAAAAAAGATCTCTTAGCACTAGCGTTGCTTGCCTGCAAAGTACACAGAACGTGAAAAGTATGAATTATTGGGTAAACATATTTGCCACGCCCATTTAAGACATCTACTTCTACTTTACGAAGACTTTGCTACTTTTGTTACAATAGGCCGATTTCTTCTTTAAGCTTCATTACTTGCAAATTTTCATTGTCATTCAACGAGGCATTCAATTATTTCATCCAACTTTACGTTTTTTAACTAACATCCACTCAGGAAATAATAAAAGCAATTTAAAGGCATCCAAACCATCTTCAGAAAATTTGTTTTAAAATCTGCACATATACTGTCGTCCAATTTATTAAAAATTTGTCTCTTCGCTTTAATAAAGTTTACTGGTTATTTAATGTTTTAACAGTTAAAACGTTATTTCAAAGATTTTATATTGATTCTTGTCCGTATTAGCCTAATTGTTCAAGTTTTGAAGTAAAATAGGGATTTACATTACAGACACTGTGTTAATTATAATTTTTTTTAAACCACACAGTTTTAATTATTTTTTTATATTTTTAGGGGTAACGTCTATCCTCGTGGATTAGCTTGCATAGTCTAGAGGTTGTGGATCACTCATACGTATTTGAAAAATCTCTAAAATAATCCGAACAAACAGCATCAGCAGAAGTAATTAGTGTAAACCAAAAATTTTGCTAGTATGTAAACAGTATAAATATATTACTACAATAATAAATTAAAAGAAAAGAAAAATGTCATTAATTACAATAATATTGTACCTAAATAGAAAATAATGTTATAAAACACTAGAAAAGATTAACTGGAAAAAGCAAGAAGTGATAAAGGTTACAGTAGAGATGAAAAATAACTATAGAAGGAAACACCGCTAAAGACCTAACAAGTAATCAAGTTCAAGAAACAAAAGCACTAACTTCAGTAAGTAATAAATTAACAATGAGTGAATTGAATACTCAACAAATTAAAATTAAATTAACTAAAGAAAATTCTTTCATATTTCAACAAACGATCAAAGAAAATGCGAAATATACTTCTAAGAATATTCAAGAAGTTGTCGATAAAAATAAATTTTATAAAATTCGGCCGCCATATCAAAAGTTAAAAAGAAAACTAGACAAAAAATAAGATAATAATCGTGAAAAGTATATAAATTGTTAGTGGAATTGTTCACTAAAGTATCAGTTTCAATTATTTAAACATTTTAGTATTTCAAATGAAAGTAAAAAGAGCAAGTAGTAACTCACCTCATCGCCATCTTCCTGCAAATTTCGAAATTTCGCAAGCTCTTTCATATGGTCCATCCTTTCCTGCTTTAAGTGCTCCAATCTTTTGGTAACTCTCTCAACAGCATTAAAGGAATCGCAAGCGTAAGTTTTCGCCCTTTGGACGTCCTTGCTAGAAGCCAGCCACTGACTCCTCTCTTCGAGACTGTTCAATGTGTTTCGCCCATCCCTTCTCAGCCTTTGAACGTTATCGAATTCTAGAGCTTTTGTGATTTGTCTGCGGATAGGAATGAAAAACAAAGACATTTTTGGAAAATTTGTATATGCAAAAAGTGTAAAAGTATGTGAGATTCATTGGTGAATTTATAAAAATCTTATCTGCGTATGACACATTATTGTCGAAGTAATGTTTATCATATTTTAATGTTTTGTTTTTCTATTCTCGATGGTTTATATTGTGCTTTCGTAAAGTAGTGAATAATGGAATGTTTTGCCAAAATAGTTATATACTATACTAAAATCAGTTTTTTTGTACGAATACCATTTTGGAAAAGGGAGGTAAGGTCCTGACGAAGTAAACTCGCTTTCCCATGACTACTTAAAGCAGTCTCCAGTACATATTACGGAAATTCTTCTCTTCTCTGACATCTGTTTAGCCCAGAATAATAATCAGGCTGTTATGAGGTATATGCTTTTTTCTGACAGACTCTGGCAGATTTAAAAAGATTCAACATTATTTTCCTGTGAAGGAACACAGCTTTTACCCATTAAGAAATTTCAACGTGCAGAAGTTACACATTATCTTGGGCTCATTGACAAAACAGCGCAGAACAAAATGGCGTAGGACAAAATAGCGTAGTACAAAATAGCGTAGTACAAAATAGCGTAGAATAAAATAGCGCAGATAAAATAACGCAAGGACAAAATAGCGCAGGACAAAATGGATCAGAACAAAATAGCGCAAGGACAAAATACCGCGTAATGAACAAGATATGTTTTTTATTTAACGAAATTCATTGAAATAATGCGTAACAAATACTGTTCCAATGACGCCTATGTAGAGAACGTTTCTCCCATATTTTAGGATCCGACGCATTTTAGCGCGAAACAATTTTGCACCGGACAAATTTGCTGCGACAAATACACGAGAGACAAGTTATCGCCTGACATAAATAAAATGATACCAATTAACGCCTAGTCTAATTGCACTGAGTTAAGGTAGCGCTTTTTTAAAAATGAGAGAAACAAATTAAAGCGTGACAAAATATGCCAGGGTTCTAATTAAAATTAAAAAAAAACTAATTGACCTAACCTGTGCGGCCTGGAGCTATGGCGGGTGGTTGTATACTACTTCAGGCCGCACATCTTAGGTAAATTAGTTTTTTTTTTTATTTTTAATTAGAATAATATTTTGGCAAGCGCTTTTATGTCCTGCGCTATTTGTCCTGAGCTATTTGTCCTGCACTATTTTGTCCTGCACTATTTTGTCCTGCACTATTTTGTCCTGCACTATTTTGTCCGTGCACTACTCTGTCTTGCGCTATTTTTTCCTTGAACTATTTTGTCTTGCGCTATTTTGCTGCGTTATTTTGTCCTGCGCCATTTTGTCCTACGCTGTTTTGTCATGGAGCCACTATTTTGAGTGGCAAACCAAGCAAATTTCACGTCAACTGGCGCTTCTGAAAAAACACAAAACAAGAAATGATAAAATCATTTTTCAATGAGTATCCTGTTTCAATTTTACAGATTTGTTATGAGTCTACAGAGAGATTCACCTCCTGTCCAGCCAAATAGGTTTTCATTTCCAACGGGAAAATTTCAAATAGAAAATAACAAATTTCGCCAAACTTAAGCAGTATGTGCCGAATGAACACCATCCATTTTATAATGGTTTTACACTGACCAATGAATAGTAACATCCAAGAAGATATGAAGGCCAAGTTACATTTTACTAGTGCTTTTTATTTAATGTTTAATGATAATAAATTCAATATTTCGGGAGAATTTTTATTCCCAGAAAATTTAAAATTTGTTAAAAGGGCATCAGTCTTCAACTTTTAAATTTTTTCAAAAAATACAGTATATAAATCTAAAAGAACAGTTGTCTCAAATGAAGTTCGATATAAAACATCATTAAATTATTTGAATTGTTATTTTGCTATCCATTGATAATTAAACAGTTTTTCAATTTTCTCAAAACTTATTCTTCGTAAATTTATATTTTTTTAAAAATTGATTTAACGTCTGCCTATTTTTAACTTTGAGCTTTAAATACCGACGCTGGTGAGCATGAAACCCCTAATACCAGAAATTTAGCCGAGTTCTCTTTTGTTCCAACCAGAGATAGGGATCATTAACGAGCCCAACATCCATGGACTCGAGACATTCCACGCTGTACCTTTGTACTCATTGATATAACGCCTGCCCGATGTGGTATGCAATTTCAATAAAGTGGTCACTCATCCAACTTCTAACTGCGATGGGCTTGGCTTGACTACAAATATCGATACACAATAGTGAACCTGCTAGGCTGAGCCGCTGCCCGATGTCCATGTAACAAATGACGATTTAATTATGAGTGTGGGTGAAATGAAATGAAATAAAATGAGGAAAAACTATTTTGAAATATTAAAATACTAAATTTAATGACAATCAATGTTTAAATTGTGCATCGTTGGCCATTTGACAGTAGCGAAGGCGATGAGTAAATCATTTTTGAACTTTGTCAATAACTTTTTATTAAAAAACAATCTCAAATCTGTACGATAAAGGGTCCCTTAGATATGGACGGCGCGGCGTCTTTCCCTATTTGGACAGTCAGTACATGTATTTCAAAGAACACCCCGTTTAATAATAGTAAATTTAGCTTAAATTACTTAATTTTATAAAAATAAAATGAGTACAACATAGGTAAGGATACTTTTTTAAATGCTTCAAAATAATATTAGATGATACAATTAGTTTGTATTTAAAATTTTCTTACTGAATCTTCCACGTACTTTAATTAATCATTTTATTAATTCAATTAGTGGGAAGCTTACAAGTGACAACTCACCTGCATTGGTGGTTCAGAAACCTGCGGGTAATTTGATGGGGTACTTCCTCGTTCCTTAACAGTGACAAAGTCGTCAGTAACGTTTTTCCAGTAGTTTTACATTCGAATAAAAACGGTTCTAGCTGTTTGAAAAATTCCACCCATTCGAGCTGGTCGTGTGTACAGACGCCACCACAACTCGCCGGTGATTGGTCCTTATTGATGTACCTATTTAAAGAAGATTCGTCGGCAAGAAGAACAACCTGTAAAAAGCAGAATAAAATTAGTGGATGAGTAGGTAGATTAAGATTTAAAAAAAGAAACACAAAATATGAGTATAGAAATTAGAATACAGAAGAACGTTTGATGAGTTTTTAATTATTATAAATTATGTCTGTAAACGAAATGTTAAAAAAAAGCATGGGAATATAGATTTGCCAGTTTTTATATGATTTAATCTCTAAAATGATTTTAGTTTTTAAATAGGATAATGTTACCCGCAAAGGTTACGTTATATATGTTTAATATTCAGTTATTAAGTTTATGCGGGTGTATTAAAAATTAATTAAATCAAAATATCCCAATTTAAAACAAAGATATACTAGCTATTTATGAAGCCAGTTACGAAATGCCTTATTTTATGAAGCAAGTGATTTTTTTTATTTTAAAAATAGATATTTAAAGTGAAAAAAAAGTCTCAAAATTATTAGGGTTCACACTGGAAGATATGATAAAATAAAGTAGAATCGGTAAATGCTGTTCGAGTGTTATCGTATCGGTGTACATAGGTACACACGTACGCACAGACGACCAGATGGGATATTTCAAGATATTAATTATTTTTTATGTTATAGAGGTACAGGGGATTACATAAATAGGAAAATTATAGCTTAGAGTTTTGTCTACTGACAATTTGAAAAAAAGTGATGAAAAAGAAAAATAGAAAACAAGATAAAATCTCTCAATACCCTCTCAGACTGGCATACCTTTGTATCAAAGGAGCACTGAGAAGTTCACAGTGATAGCCTTAATGGAAATCATTCTAGTCCTCTATCCGATGGTCCATATTTTCAATGACTCTGAGAAGGTATGCCACCGAAGCCGTTGCGAGCTTTTGGCAGATATTTTGTTTTACACATAATTGTCATATATTCTTCTATCATAATAAAAAATATTAAGATAATTATCTGAGAACATTTTGTTTTATTTACAATTAACATCGTGCGTTTTGGTTAAACCACCCTTTAGAATAATATATGAGATAAATCAACTTATATTAAATATGGAATTAGGCAAAATAATACCACGCCTAACTTCAACATACTCTTCCAATTTGACTGCAACTAGCATGAGGTACATAAGAAGGTAGAGAAATACTTGCTTTAGGGTCCCTTAAGGTATGAGGATTGATCTGAAACCAGCAAGGGAACAAGCTCTGGCTGTAATTAAATATAAATGCAACCTCGCTGTCTTATTTAAAAAAAAATAACAATTTATTTATGTTGAAGTACATGCATCTGAAATGTGTCTAAGAAAAAATTTAAGATGAAAGTACAAAAACTAAACCATCTTAATTCTCTCAGAGAGCCAAGCTGACCTAACGGCCCTTGGATCAATTAGAATAAAGTCAAAGCTAGAACTGCTTTGGAATAGCCATATCATCTTACAATAAAATAAAACTAGCGTAAGTACCAGACTGAAAAGATATCCAATGAAATGAAAAACTCGCCAAATAGGGATCATAACTACTATTTAAAGGATTCAAACCTTCATTTGGCATAAGTTAAACATCTTCTCGACAGGCAGTGAACAAATGGATAACCACTAAACACCAAACTCACTGGCAATAGATAAGAGAAAGCAGAATCAGTTAGCTCATGCTAAGAAGACCAAACCCACGCGTGGCTGCTGAGGTACTACAGCTCGAAAGGCTCCAGATATTCACTATCGTAAAATTCAGGGGCGGCTCGTGACCAAAATTTTGGGGGTTCACAGTAGTAGAATATAGATCCCGGTACAGATATAGGTAAAAAACTGCTAGTGTTTTAGAAAGGTATTTATAAACCTTCTAAAACACTGAAAGTTTTTTTCATACATCTGTACTAATACCTATATTCTGTCACTGTGAACCACCCCACGAGCCGCCACTGGTAAAATTATTGATGTTAATATATAATGATCCAACAAGAGAAATAAACCTTATAGGAACACGTAGTGGGGAACCTAGTAAAACTAATGTTACCTAATAGTATGGGGAAAGCAGGAGTATACAATAGACCCGAGAGACCGCAGTGTTCTGGGTTAAAACTAAACCTACCAGATTGTAATCGACAAACATAAAAATTAAACTCAATTTGTATTTAAGTCATTGTTAAAATTGAATCGGTGAGTGGAAAAAGGATAATATTCGAAAATCTTAACGTTTGGAAAATTAAAAAAAAACTGTTTTATACATTTATTTTTAGTGTAAATGATCTATTATTAACTTGTATTTTAGTAATAAATTTTTAATTTTTTTTATTTCACTTACCTGAGTTAAGGAGGTTTTAATATTTGGACTATCACCCTTTTCCAATCAAAATAAGGAAGTATTATAAAAATGTCAACGTTTTTATCAATTTTTTTTTATCAAAGGAGAACTTGTTTTTACACTAAAATTAAAAGAAAGGTTTTCCTCTCAAACTTGGCATCATATATCAATCTTCCTCGTCACTATCACCGTCACCTTCTGCAGTGGGCCAGGTGAGTTTTTCTTCAAAAAATGGAGGAACATCTTCAGGTATGTATTGCAAAAATTTTGAAGTATCTTCAATCTTTTTCTTTTTTATTGGGACTCTTCCTATATATATGCCCTTGTACTAGGTAGAGGCACGTCGTCAACCTTACTCAATTTAAATTTGTTGAGATAAAAACTGTCTATGTATTCACCACACTGTACATATACTCTTTCTGCCTATTTCAAGACACTATGTCTGTACTTCTAATAATAAAAGGTACTTTGACGGTTGATCCAGTAGGAGGCGTAATTGTACAGGTTTTTTTAAAATAATGAAGCCACCAGTTTTTAAAGTCTAGTATATCTTCATGATTAATATCTCTTACCATATATTTAGGATGAGTTGTCTTAACATTGCATATAATTTCATTGTTCTGTTTAGGTGAATAAATTCGATCATGTTTACATACAACCCGTTTGACCACACCAAAAGACCTATCACAGGACTTAAAACTATGACCCCTAACAGGATAGTATAGGTTAACCTCTTTGAAACGACCCCTCATTGTTAGAGTAAGCTACAATCTCGTACGAGTGTGGTTACGGTTTTGCCCACCGCACGCATCACAAAAAACATGAACAATTTTTACTGCCTTTGGAACAGACTTATCAATAAAATCTAGTACAAAAGTGCAAACCTCGTTAGGCCCTTTCTTGCATTCTTGAAGTCTTGAATATTGAACACATAATACCATAGTTTTCTCAGGTAAAACATCTGCTGCACAGGCATAGAGGACAGAAGCAAATTTTGCATATAGTCAAATACTATTCCACTAACTTTTGGATCAGTTTTGCTAACCGCTTGCATGCTCTTCAGCTTGTTATAAAACTTCATTGCCCTTCGTTTATGCACCATGAGTTCAGCAGCAGCGACACGTTTTGCGCCATAATTTAAAAGAGTTGATTTGATCTTGGTATTTAACTTTTCACAGGTAGAACAAACATCTACCTGTGGTCGGCCAAACTTGTAGTTAATTTTTTTTTTTTTTAAATATTTGAGGTAGTATTAATATTTCACCACTGTTTACGGCATACTTTAATACGAATATCGCCTTGCATAGTGAAATATGTAAAAGAAGAAGTGATTTGTTTTGAGTCTGCTTGGGTAGGACGATGCCTAGAAAAGTCATATCTTCCTATCAAATAGGTATCTTTTTCATTTTTTGGTTGCCCATTGTATAAAGACGTGATTATTGCTAGTTTATTTTCATTTGAGAAATTGTCCATTCTATTACAGCAAGAACAGTTTGGCCCCGTTATTTTAGCCTCAACTAAGAGTCCTCATTAACCTCTTGTTCCTCTAAATCTGACATCTTATTCAAAAAACTTTATAACATAAAAGGAAGAATAACTTGCAAATACTCACACAATAACTGTTCTATAATCTAACATAACCTGCGTAAGATAAAGAGACAACTTGCTCTCTGTGAATCACATTGAGTGGAAAAACAGATAAAATTCCTGGAATGTTCCTTTTTCCACTTAACCGTAGTTTTAACGTAAATTAAACGCATTTGCTATCTCAGTTTAATTTTCCATTGTATAGAATATTTTTCAATGTGCAGAAATTTATGTATAAAATTATTTTATTGCTTATAAAATTCATATCTGGAAGAACTAACAGTTCAAACTACATTTTTTTAATGTTAATAAATAATATGAAGCTAATTATAGCAATAATCACAAAAGCTGTATCGTTATGATATTCAATAGGACATAGATTAGTTTTGTTATGATATAGATTATCTTCATTACGATACTATTTATTTAAACAAATTAGAATGCACTATTAAATTAACAATACTTAAGGCGAATTTAAATAGTAACATAGGTACCCTTTAAAATTTTAAAAAACAAAAACATCCCAGGCAACTAACCTTTAATGTATTTTAGCACATTTTTAAAATATTTATCTGTTTCACTAACACGTACGAACACATCACTAAAAACATCGCGTAAAATTAAAAGTAGAATTAAGGTCAACTGATAAACTGCACTATTGCCGTACCATTTACTACCATTTTCGAATTGTTTAAAACCTTCATTGTGTATTTTTTCAATGGGCATTCTTCACAAACTGAATTCGAATCTTTATACAGTCACCGCGGTGACCGGATCAACCGGAAATAAAAAGCGAGCCCTTAGAATTCACAATGAAATTCGTGTACAGGGATAGTGGAACTGGCATTAGGAATTCTATACAGGGTAAATTGAAATAAAAGATGCAACAATTTGGTAAGAACTTGTTTAGTATAAACATCTGCTCTAAAAAACAACGATTGTTATTTGAAATTGCGAAGAACTAACTAGATAACATGGAAAAATAATATGTGATATTTTTTATATTTCGCTCAGTTAATACTGTTACCCTGCACCCTGTATTAGCCTGCAGCTATTATAAAAAATGTACGATTAAAAAAAGAAGTGTAATATTATCACCCATCACCCTACAGTATGATGCGATCGTCATAAGTAAAAGTACAAGTA